GTGTTCCTAGATTAAATACTATGATATAAAATGAATAACAAATACTGTAAGGCCAATACATTTTATGTTACATGAGGAGGGAATAAGAGAGGGAAGGAAACAGATATTTCCCCGACACTCACATTCACACACACACACACACACAAACGTATTCATAACAAAATAAGGGAGTACTCATGACCGTTACAATCCTCTTTCTATAACTGGTCATATGGTTGTAGCTGGTATTAATAACTACCTTCTTCCACTACCTAATCTGTATTCCCCTGCCTTCAGCAAGCACCTCAGCTGGTTGTGGTTCTTTAACTGGTGGAGTGACCCAAACCTTCATTCTTGAAGGATCTGAGCTATTAGTAGTCCTTCCTGGATTGGGTTGTAGTTTTCCATTGACCTTAATCACAGGGCATGGTAGTACTATGAGACGTCCTAAGGGATCTCCTATATTCCAGAAATATTCTTTCTTACCTCCACTGTGGAGTACCAGTCTATTTTCCACTGGGTAGTCAGTATCACTCACCCCAGCCAACACAGTAACTCCTTCTTTGCCTGTTGATTCAGAAGCATGTGGAATCCACAGTGACTCAGCTGCAGTCTTAAGTTGCATTTCAATGGAGTAATTGTGTCAATGGCATAAATGTGAAAGCATTCCTCCCTCTGGAATTAAGACCTCTGGGCCAGCAAATCATAAGGCCATGGGAACGGAAAGCAACAATTTTGCTAGTGGGGCTCTAGGAGTAATAATGAGTGGTGCCTCTCCCATTCTATCCCTTGATTCCTAGACCTGTGATTCTATGTGTGAGAGAAGCAGCGCCATATTAGATGCTGGTTCTAGACTGTTTAGTCTTCTGGAAAACCTCGCTCCAGATCTACAAGGTATTACCAACTTGCTGGCACTGTAACTCAGTCTTCAAAAGGCCATTTCATCATTCCGTCAAACCAGCTGCTTCATGATGGTGGGGAACATGTTAAGAATAGTGAATTCCATAAGTGTGGGCCCAGTGTAGCCCTTCTCTTGCTGTTAAGTGAGTTTCTTGATCAGAATCAATGCTGTACAGAATATTATGACAGTGGATAGGCATTCTCTAAGTCCACAGATGGTAATTTTTGCAGAAGCATTGCATGCAGGGATGCCAGTTCCATATCCAGAGTGTCTATTCCAGTAGGAATAATACACTTCCACTGCCATGATGGAAGTGGTCTAATGGCATCAACCTGTTACCAGGTAGCTGACTGATCACCCTGGGGAGTGGTACCGTATAGGGAACTCACTGTTGAGCTCTGCTGCTGACAGATGGACACTCAGCAGTGACCTTGGTGAGTGGAAGTCCATCCTTCCCACCACAGCCACCTTGTTCATAGCCCATTGGGCAATGACTGGGTGATTCGGGAAAAGCTGATGGTATCCACTTGATTGTTAAAATCTTCCTTTACTGAGGTCACCTATGAGCATTCACACAAGACACAGATATCTTCACTTTTTTTTTAGTTTTTTTAAATTGAAATATAGTTGACGTCTTCACGTTGTTGTTGTTGTTGTTGTTTTGCCTATTTAGAGACATCTGTCTACCTCCTCCCCAAATTTCCCAATTTCCCAAACATACTCCTTCCGTGTCCCTTACCATTAGCCACTCATTGGTCATAGCCCATGAATCAGTATAAAATTACACATCTAACTATTTCTTCTTTCAAGTAAACAACTAAGTGCACTGCTGTAAGTTCTGTGCACTGGGAGGATTTCCCTTTACCACTGTCTTTCAGGGATGTTCCAGAAGGGGACTATAACACTACAGCTGTTCAGTTTTGGGTGGTGTCTACATATCATGCACATTTCCAGTGGCTGCACCATTTGCATTCCCACCAGCAATGTACAGCATTTTCAATTTCTCCATATCCTAGCCAATATTTATTGTTTTCCATTTTGTTGATAATAGCCATTCTTATGGGTTTGAAGTGGTATCTCCATGTTTTTTTTCATTTGCATTTCCCTAATGGCTAATGATTTTGAGCATCTTTTCATTTGAAATTGGTCATTTGTTTATTTTCATTGGAGTAATATCTATTCAAGTCTATAGCCCATTTTTAAGTTGGGTTGTTTTTTTTTTTTGCGTTGTGGGCATTCTTTGTATATGCTGGTTATTTATCTGATATATGAGTTTCAAACATTTTTTTCCCCATTCTGTGGGTTACCTTTCCTCTCTCTTAATAGTGTTCTTTGATTTATAAGAGGTTTTAATTATGATGAAGTCCAACTTATTTTTTTCTCTTGTTGCCTGTGCTTTTGGTGTCACACTTAAGAAACCTTCGCCAAATCCAAGGTCATGAAGATCTCCCCTTCTGTTTTATTCTAAGAGTTTTATAGTTTTAGGTCTTTGATCTATTTTGAGTTTATTTTAATATATGGTACAAGGTAAGAGGCCAGCTTCATTCTTTTGCATGTGGGCATCTTGTTTCCCTAAACCAATTGTTGAAAAGACTGTCCTTTCCAGATGGGGTGCTCTTGCCACCCTCATTGAAAATCAGTTGTGACCATTATATGTTTATCACTAGGCTCTCTGTTCTTTTCGTATAGTCTGTTTGTGCCAATACCACATTTTTTTTCTCTTTCACTCAGCCTGGGGTAAGACAGGCAAAGTGCCTTCCTTGGAGTGGTATTTTCCTAGTTCACACACTGAAAGTATCACCATCTGGGCGTTGCTTTTCTCAACTTCAGAGGAGTTTCCTCGAGCCTCTCTTGAGGTCCCAGCGCTCTTTCCTATACCTTGAAAACTGTGCTGGTTGAAATCCAAGCTATAGGCTACTATAAAGAAGTAGATGCTTTCAGAATAAATTTTGGCTCCAGGGCTCTCTTATCTTGTGGAACTGTGTTTTCTCATTTTCTCTGACTTCTTTTTTGTTCTCTATACTGCTGGTTGAAGTATGCTTTAAATATAAGTTTTTAATATATTACTGTATATTTTCAAATGTTCTTTACCAGGACCATCGAGTCCACAATATGAAAATTGAGAAGAGGACTTTTAAGATCAGCTTTGTCATCCATTCTTGATAATCTGCTTGTATATAATTTGAAATAATAGTTTACACCATTTACATGCATTTTTCTTAGCAGTTTTCATTTTAATTACATCACATGCTTTTTTTAGTTTTCTACGTGGCTATTATTGTGTTACTGTACAGTTGTCCCTCAGTGTCTGAGGGGGATTGGTTCCAAGAACCCCCTGCAGATACCCAAATCGTCCCTTATATAAAATGACATAGCATTTACTATATAACCTATGCACATCTTTCCATATAGTTTTTTTTTACTTTAATAAGCAGAATTATTATTTGTAATATTTACGCACATAGTCTTCCATGGTAATGTTAAAGTTACCATTTTCTTCAAATGCCCCTCAAAATAGCACACTTTGCCTTCCTAAGTGAATCTTGGACAAGGAAATTCAGTGAAAGTGATCTGCTCGTGACTGTCCCATGTCTCTTTTTCTTTTTTTTTTTAACATCTTTATTGGAGTATAATGCTTTACAATGGTGTGTTAGTTTCTGCTGTATAACAAAGTGAATCAGCTTTATGTGTACATATATCCCCATATCTCCTCCCTCTTGTGTCTCCCTCCCACCCTCTCTATCCCACTCCTCTAGGTGGAGACAAAGCACGGAGCTGATCTCCCTGTGCTATGTGGCTGCTTCCCACTAGCTGTCTATTTTACATTTGGTAGTGTATATGTGTCCATGCCACTCTCTCACTTCATCCCAGCTTACGCTTCCCCATCCCTGTGTCCTCAAATCCATTCTCTACGTCTGCGTCTTTATTCCTGTCCTGCCCCTAGGTTCTTCATAACCATTTTTTTTTCTTTTTAGATTCCATATATATGTGTCAGCCTGCGATATTTGTTTTTCTCTTTCTGACTTACATCACTCTGTATGACAGTTTCTCGGTCCATCCACTTCACTACAAATAACTCAGTTTCGTTTCTTTTTATGGCTGAGTAATATTCCATTGTATATATGTGCCACATCTTCTTTATCCATTCATTTGTTGATGGACAGTTAGGTTGCTTCCATGTCCTGGCTATTGTAAATAGGGGTGCAGTGAACATTGTGGTATATGACTCTTTTTGAATTATGGTTTTCTCAGGGTATATGCCCAGTAGTGGGATTGCTGGGTCATACGGTAGTCCTACTTTTAGTTTTTTAAGGAACCTCCCTACTGTTCTCCATAGTGGCTGTATCAATTTACATTCCCACCAACAGTGCAAGAGGGTTCCCTTTTCTCCACACCCTCTCCAGCATTTATTGATTGTAGATTTTTTGATGATGGCCATTCTGACTGGTGTGAGGTGATACCTAATGGTAGTTTTGATTTGCATTTCTCTAATGATTAGTGATGTTGAGCATCCTTTCATGTGTTTATTGTCAATCTGTATATCTTCTTTGGGGAAATTTCCATACACTTTAAATTGTTCCTAGATAACTTATAATACCTCATACAAAGTAAATGCCATGTAAATAATTGTAAATACAATGTGAATGATATGTGAATTGTTGCCACCACATGGCAAAATCAAGTTTTGCTATTCAGAACGTTCTGGATTTTTTTTTAATTTTGAATATTTTCAATTGGTGGTTGGTTGAATCCGAGGAACCTGCAGAACCTGAAGATATGAAGGGCCAGCTGTATTGGTTATTTGGATATGGTAACAGTTTTCTGGTTGCCAATATTATGAAGTGGTTGTCTTTAAAATTTTGCATTTTGAAATAGTAAATGCCCTCAGAAAATGCCTACACAAGTCAAGAAATAACATTGATGACACTGCAGTTTTCTCTGGAAGTTTCAGCTTATGTAGGAAAGATGCAATTCCTTGTCCATAGAAAATTGTATACGTACTCTGTCATTTGAGAGGACAGTTTGTACTTTATTAAACAGTATCATGGTTAATATTTTTCACTTTTGCCTTTCTTAGTTTTACAGTCCTTAATATTGGTATGTTTGATTTTCTTTGCAGGTTTTCTCTAGGTGATTCTAGGAGGCCTCTTCATGAAACAGCAGTTTTGGTAGAAGATGTAGTACACACTCAGTTAATTAACCTGGTAAGAGCATATAATCTTATTTGGTATCTCTTCTCTGCATTCCACTTATATTGGCATCACAACCCAAGATATTTTTAAGAATTTTTTTTTTTTTTTACATTTTTTTACATTTGGAATTCTTTTTTTGTCAGCTCTATTGAAGTATAATTTTCATGTAACAGAATTTCACCATTGCATGACTTTTGACAGATGAATATTGTCATGTGGCTAGCAACGCAGTCATTATATGGAAATGTTTCCATCATCCAAAAACATCCCTTTGTACCCCTGTGTAATCAGTCTTTTCTCCCACTCCTGACCTCGGATAACACTGATCTGTTCTTTTGTTTTTTGTTTTTGCGGTACGCGGGCCTCTCACTGTTGTGGCCTCTCCCGTTGCGGAGCACAGGCTCCGGATACGCAGGCTCAGCAGCCATGGCTCATGGGCCCAGCCGCTCCGCGGCATGTGGGATCCTCCCGGACCCAGGCACGAACCCGTGTCCCCTGCATTGGCAGGCAGACTCTCAACCACCATGCCACCAGGGAAGCCCCACTGATCTGATTTGTATCATTATATCAGTATAGTTTTTTCAGAACTTTAAAAAAAACTTTTATTCTGAATTTTAGATATCTGGAAAGAGAATTGCACAAATATTACAGAGAATTCTCAGATACAGTTCACATTCCTCTGTTAATATCTTGCATAACCATAGTACAATTATCAAAACCAGGAATAACATTGGTACAATACTGTTAATAAAATTACCAACCTTATATGAATTTCGTCAGTTTTCCCATTAATGTCCCTTTTCTGTTCCAGGAGGTAATAATCCAGGATAACACACTGTAGTGAGCTGTCATGTCTTTGTGGTCTTTTATCTGTGATAGTTCCTCAGTCTTTCTTTAAAGTCTTTCATGACCTTGACATTTTTGAAAAGTACTAGACAATTATTCTGTAGAATGCTCTTCTTTGTCAATTGGTCTAATGTTTTCTTACGGTTAGAATGTGGCTATGCCTATTTGGCAAGAATACCACAGAAGTGATGGGTTTTTCTCACTGTATCATATCAGTGGGTTCATGTTGTTGATGTGTCGTTTGTGATCTTAAATTAACCTTGATAACTTGGGTAAAGTGGTATAGGCTGAATTTTTCCACTATAATGAATTTTTTTTTATTTTGTTGTTAATAAATGTCTTGTGGGAGATATTTTGTGACTATGCAAATACTGTTTCTCTGAAAAATTTTGCCTATTAATTTTAACATTCATCAGTGGGTGTAGTCTGAGATAGTTATTACTGTGGTATTTGCATAGTAATTATTTTCTATTTTCTTCTTTCCTTTTATCTTTTTTAATTGCAGTTATTCTGATAGGAATAGCTATTCTTTATCACCATTTATTTATTAAATTTTTAATGTACATATGTATGGATTAATGTGTATTTAAATTTTATTCTTTGGTTCATTATGCAGTAATATTATTATTTATTTTTATTTCTCAAGTTGTTTCAGTGTTGGGCACTAGGAATGCTTTCATGTCCTTTCCTCATTTTTCTATCAAGTTTTTGGTCCTGTGTCTCATAAATATTAGGTATATCAGTCCTTTGCTTGTGGCATATGATATAAATATATTCTTCTTCTGTGTCAGTTACAGTTATCTTGACTTTGTTTTTATGAGCTTTGGGGAGGCATACAAGTATTTTTATTTTAATGTAGTCAAATGCATCAATCTCTTATTTCCTTCTGAGTTATAGTTAGGAACACTTTTCTTATACTGAGTTTAAAGAGAAATTCATCCATATTGTCTTCTAGTACCTGTATGGTTTCATTTTTAACATTTAGATTCCTAACCATTTGTGGTTTATTCTTGTTATTGTGTGAGATATGGATCTAACTATAGATTTTTCCAAATGACTACCCAGTTATACCATCATCATTTATTAAAAAGTATCTACTTTCCCTAATGATTTGAGATGCCTCCTTTATCATTACTAAATTAGCATATGTATTGGGGTCTATTTCTGATTTTATATTCTATACCAGTGGTTTATTTGTCTACGCATGTGCTAATACAACGTTTTTAATTATATTGGTTTTATGGTATATCTTAAAGATTGTTACAGCTAGACACCCCTTCTAATTTTTCTCAGTGTGTTCCTGATTATTCTTATATGTTTATTTTTCCATGTGAACATTAGTATTGAATTTTCTAGCTCCATAAAATAACTTGCTGGTATTTTTATGGGGATTGTGTGAATTTATAAATCAGTTGAAAGAGAACTGCATCTTAATGTTGAGTCAGTCTAAGAAAAATGAATGTCTACATTTTTTCAAGACTATTTTTGTGTCTTACATGAGTGTTTTAACATTTCTTTTTATAGGCTTCATGTATTTCTTGTTAGATATATTCCTAAGTATTTAACCTTCTTATTTGCTATTGCAAATAGGCTTTCTATATAATTACATAATGGCTGAAAATGTCTGGAATTTACTAAAATAAGTAGATCTATAGATTTAAGAAGCTGAGCAAACTCCAGAAAGGATGAGCCCAAAGAAATGCATGTTCAAACTGCTGACTATGAACGGCATAATATAAATTTTAAAAGCACCCAGATTTACTACCATAGGGGAACAATGATTTGAAAGACAGCAGAATTTTCATGAAACTATGGAGACTAGAAGGAAATAGCACAACAGTTTTAAAGTACTGGATTCCCTTTTCTCCACATCCTCACCAGCACTTGTTATCTCATGTCTTTTTCATAATAGCCATTCTAACAAGTGTTGGCCTAAAACATACACGTAGATCAGTGGAACAGAATAAGAGCCCTGAAATAGCCCACATATATGGTCAATTAATTTACGAGAAAGCAGTCAGAATTGGAGAGCCACATGCTAAAGAATGAAACTAGATGCTCTTTTACACTGTACACAAAAATTAACTCAAAATGGATTAAAGACTTAAATGTAAGACCTACAACCATGAAATGCCTAGAAGAAAACATAAGCATTAAGCTCCTTGACATAGGTCTTGGCAATGATTTTTTGAATCTGACCCCACAAACAAAAGCAAAAATAAACAATTGAGACTACATCAAACTAAAAAGCTTGTGCACAGCAAAGGAAACCATCAACAAAATGAAAAGGTAACCTACTGAATGGAGGAAAATGTTTGCAAATCATATATCTGATAAGGGGCTAATATTCAAAATATATGAAGAAGTCATACAACTCAATAGCAAAAAATAAACAATTAATAAATGGGCAGATGATCTGAATAGACACTTTTCCAAAGAAGACAGACAGCTGGCCAACATGTACCTGAAAAGATGCTCACCATCATTAGCCATCAGGGAAATGCAAATCAAAACCAAATGAGATATCACCTCACACTTGTCAGAATGACTGTCATCAAAAAGACTAAAAATAGCAACTGATGGTGAGGATGTGGAGTAAGGGAGCCCTTGTGCATTGTTGGATTGTGCATTTGTGCAGCCACTATGGAAAACCACTATGGTTTCTCAGAAAATTAAAGACAGAACTACCATATCATCCAGCAAGTCCAATTCTGGGTATTTATCCAAAGAAATGAAAATACTAACTCAAAAAGATGTATGCATGCCCATGTTCGTGGCAGCATTATTTGTAGTAGTCAAGATATGGAAACAACCTAAGTATCCATCTCTGGACGAATGGGTAAAGAAATTGTGGTATGACTATGCAGTGGAATATTACTGAGCCTTGAGAAATAATGAAACCTTGCCATTTGCAATACCGTGAGTGGACCTCAAGGATATTATGCCAAGTGAAGTAAGACAGACATAGAAAGACAAATACTGTATGAGCCCTTTTATATGTGGAATCTAAAAGAAAAACAAATCAACTTCATAGAAACAGAGAAACAGATTGGTGGTTGCCAGAGGCAGGAGGTGGAGTGGGATGAACTGTTTTTTAGTTTAAATAAATTGAATTAAAAAATTTTTTTAAATAAATTAATTTTTAAACTTTATGGTAACTGGTAATGCTGATATTCACAGGGAGAGATGGGGGTTTTGACAAGAGGTATCTAGCCTGGAATTCTTGTTTTTGTATATACATGTCTATATAAAAATATATGTTAAATCTTTCATAGGATTCAAATAAATATATTTAATATATTTATTAAATTTAATTGAGGAAAGTAAGCATCAGAATAGAGGTAAACAACTCTTGACCTATGCATAGATGTAGCATAGAATCTGGTTTTGCTTGCACTATATTGATACAAATTTAGTTGCCAACATTTTAAAATTAGATCACTTTTACATAAAAACTTAGGATTTCTGGCTATTCTTGAAAGATTAAAATTGGAATGTTTGACAGCACAGGTATGACTTTTAATATGGAAATCTGAGCTCAGGAGCCACTTCTACCTGGTTTTTACCAGGCCGGCTTCATTTGCTTAACCAGGAAAGTATTCAGTGTTGATGGATTTATATAGCATATTGTTGCTGTATTTCCCATATCCATCTTCAATTTCAATTTTTCAAGAAAACATACTTTTTAATTTTGGAAGAAAGTGATGTTTTTTAAAGGAATTTTAGTTTTCCTCAAAAGCTGTGGAAACAGTGTTATGTATGTCACAGAAGTTCATAGACAAATATAATAAGGAAGTTGTTTTTACGTGATATACTTTTTCCCCCTGTGACTTTGTAAATGCCAGAGTGATCTATCAAAGTGCTTTGATAGTGTACTATCAAAGGGAATACATAACTTATAGAAGAAATAAAAAGCATTTAGATTTTTGCTGCAGCCTATTTAGAAGGGAAGAAAGTGATTCCACTCTTACAACCTCTGTGGTGCTGTGTCTCCTGTTCAAAAAGCACCTTTAAGTACTGGGGTAGTGAGCTAGAACTTAAGTTGACTCGTTCTTTCCTCAACTGCTAGCCCTTAATACCTTAATCTAAAACTTTAAAGGGGAAGAAAATCCATTCTTCAGTCTCTTGGATCATTTTGGCAGCGGTTGCGTGTTGTTTCATTTGGG